ACAAGGATTATGGTGGCAGCAGAGAGAAAGAGAAGCCTCCAAAGAAAGAGAAAAACAAGAAAGAAACAAATTGTTCTTCACTAGAGGGGAAAAAAGGAAAAAAAGGAAAGGAAAAGGCAATCAGTGTGAAAGACACCATGACTGGCAAAAAGAAGCAGGCTGGTGGTGATCAGGGCCAACAGCCTTCTGCAAGAAAGAAAGGCTGGAAGAAGATTTTGAATTTCATGCTAGGCAAGCAATCCTGATCAAACCAGGAATGATCTGGAATACACCAACAAATTCTCTCCAGAGCCACAGAATCAGACACTTTTGTCCAAGTATAAGGCCCTGGCCCAAAAGCTGTATGAACATGAGACAGACCTGTTTAAGAATAAGACAGACTATCAGAAGGGGGTCTCTTTGGCGTGGATTAAAACTGTTGTGTCCTCAGGTACCTTGGCTGACAGGATGGCAGTGATGACCCTTCTCATCCAGGACAGTGCTGTCCACAGTCTCCAATTTGTTGAGAACTTAATAAGCCTCATACAGAAAAAGGGCAGCAGGCAGCAGAGCCTTATGGCTTTAGATACTTTCAAGAAGCTTCTCATTACAGATATCTTACCAGACAATCGAAAATTGTGGTCTTTCTCGCAGAGACCGCTGAACAACATAGTGCAGATGTCGAGTGGCAACAAGGATTCAAGAGACAGGAGGCTGATACTTTGGTACTTTGAGCATCACCTGAAGCTGCAGATAGCAGAGTTCGTGCAGGCCTTGGAAGCACTGAGCCACGATTGTCTGACAGCCACCAAATCCCGAGCGCTGGCTGAAATAAATGGGCCAGGAGACCTGCTCCTCTTTAAGGCCTTTATTAGGTGACCAGCTCTGGGGTGGGGGCCCGAGGCGTCGCGCGCACCACTGCTGCTCCCACGTGGCAACGCGGAGGAGGAGGAGATCGGGTCCACTAGGCAGCAGAGTCGGGGCTTCCGTCCTGGGCACAGGAAGGCAATTTGTGGCTCGTTGCCCGGGGTCCTGATTCCGCAGTCGCGCTGTTTATATTAGTGCGGCATGTCGGTGGCTATTCTGCGGGTCCGGCGCTGTCCAGGGACCTCTTGCCGATTGTCCGATCCGGTCCGTGGCCCTGAATTTGGCGTGGCTTGTTGTCCTTGGGGCTCTTTTCGGGATTTTGCGCTCGGTTCGCGATTTGCATATTTGCTGGAGTCGGCGCGGCCGCCATTTTGGGGAGCAGCGGCGGTAACATCCTGGCGGTCACAAAGTGAAGGACAAGCGGGGCAAGGGGGAAACATAACAAGGGTGCACATAAGGGGATTTTAACGGGGTTTGAACAGTTTACAGCATTTTAATTAACATTTTTAATATAAAACTGAATTTATTCATAACAACTCCCCCCTCTATTTGTTTGATCGGGCTTTTGCCTGCATCAATTAGCTGTCT